GAGTTAAACTCGAGTTGAGTCAAATTGAGTCAAGTTTAAAATTTATATAACTCGAATCAAGTTGAGTTGAAAGATTTTATAAAATAAATTTGACTCGACTTAACTTGAAAAAAATGAGTCAAATAGAGTTGATCCTTAAACTCAACTCAATTCGATTTATTCAGAACTCTAACTATACATTTTTATCATACAACATAACCTCCTACTTGATAATAGAATTATCAATTCTTTTAAAGTTAGTAATTTATTTTTTATTGTTAATATATAATTTTTTATTAATTTAGATATAGTATTGAATGTTACTTAATAAAAACAGGATTAAAGCATATGAAATTTTACAAGAATTAATAAAAAGTAATTTTTTTTAAATATTAATAATGCTATTAATTTTAATAATAATGCTTAAAATTCTATAAGTAAAAAACAATTAATAATTATTAAAAGTATACAGAAAATTTTTCATATAATAAAATAAATGAAATTAATTAAATTAAAGATAATGATGATTAGATATTTATGATAAATAGAATTACAAAATCTCATTAATCAACTTTTATTTGATAATCTTATAGATATTGAAGAATTTCTTTATTTTAATGACTATTTAAAAATTAATGAAGAATTAATAGATAATAAAATTATATTTATAATAATAAAACTAAATAATAATAAACCTGAGGTAAAACAAAACAATAAGTTTTTAACAATAATTTTTTAAAAAAAAGTTTTAAATTATTTAGATAATTTTATTATATTTTATCAAATATTTCTATTAATTTAAATGGATTAATGTATTATAAAAATTAAAATATTAGATATTAAAATCATATATTGCTGATTTAAAATAAATTACATTAGATAATTTTATTTAAATTTTATAATACATAATAATATTCTTAAATAATAAAACACTATTAATAATAATTATATAAATAATTTGAATTATGAAAATTTATAATATTTTATTAAAAATTTAAGTTTAAAGTTATAAATGATAAAAAAATTTTACATACCGATACTAAATAATATTTAATATTAATATCAGTATATAAAATTTTTATATACTGATAATTTGATATACTTAGAGTTTTAGACGAGTTGAGTTAACTTACAAGTCAGATAAGCTGAGTTGAGTTTAAATCAAGTTGAGTTTATGTTTTTTTGACTCAATGATTTACAAGTCAAGTCAAATTCAAGTTGAGTTAAATATTTAACTTGACTTGATTTAAATTAACTTGATTCGAGTTGACTCAAGTCGACTTGAATGATTTTTTTATTATTCAAGAAGAACAATGACAAATCATTCGACTTGAATGATAAAAAAAATCATTCAAAAAGAATAATAACGAATCATTCGCTCTTCTCTCTTCCTGATCTTTTCATTTTTTTTATTTTTTTTTAAAATCAAATTGAGTTAAAATTGAGTCAAGTTAAATTGAGTTGAGTTTAAAATTTATATAACTCAAATCAAATCAAATTGAAAGATTTATAAAATAAATTTGATTCGACTCAACTTGAAAAAAAAGAGTTGAAAAAATTGATCTTTAAACTCGACTTGATTCAACTCATTCAGAACTCTAGATATACTGATATTTATTTTTCAAAATAGTAATATTAGTATATAAAGGTTTAACTATATATAGATTTAGAATGTGATTTTTTCTGAACAGTTAAGGAATTCAAAAAATCTGGATCTATATACTTAAGTATAATTTTTAAAAAGATGATCTTCTTTTTAAACCTACTTTTTAGTTATTTGCACAAATTAGAATTGGTATTTATAATATATAATATAAAAAATTTATTAGAAGCTAATACTATTATCAATAAAGTATTAAGACATAATTCTGACAATCATGCTTCTCTATCTTATAGATATACTATAATTAATTTCAGAAGAAGGGGATAATATTATGATCAAGTAAATTATTCTGCATCTTTGATGAAAACTATACATATAGTAAGTTAGATATATAGTTTATTAAATTTTATTTTTTATTTGCTTGATTAAAGATAAGATATAATATATAATTAATCTGTTATAATAATAGATAGCTTTTTAGAAATAAAAGATATAATTAATTGAGTGTATCAAATATCCTTTTAAACTCTTTAGCATTAGTATCTAAAAAGAGTAAAGATATTTTATCATTAATTTAGAATAGTTGATCAGTATATGATTATTTTAAAGTAATAAATTTATATGCTTTAGAATCAGATTTATATTTGTCTAGTGAAGAGTTTAAAAAAGTTTTTCTTTAATAGCCTATTATTTAATAATAAAAGAATATAATTAGATAAAAATAGACTTCTTTAAATAGACTAGTAAAATATTTATATGCTTTTTTACACTTATCTAATAAATTTAAGGTGAAGTATAATCTTTAAAATAGATAGTGATTCAGTGATAAATTATTATATAAAACTACAAAAGTATTATGATAAAGATAGTTTAAAAATAATTTTATTTGAAAATTATTTTTTAATAATAAATTTAAAGTTGATAGGTATAGAATAAATCTTTTTTTACTAGTAGAAATACTAGATGCATTAGAGAAACTTGCTAATTAATTTATTTTATTTAAAGCAAGATATATTATATATAAAATATCATGAAAATTGTAACTAATTAAAAGAATTTATCTGATAATATACTTAATAAACAGAATATTATCAGATATACAAAGAAATACAGTCAACTCTTGATATAGCGAACTCTTGATATAATGAATTTTTTGAACAAATATAATAAAAATACTCTTGTTATAGCGAATTGGCCAATCAAATCTCTTAAAATCTTCACTATAGCTTTATAGCGAAGTTGAGGTCTAGGATATAGAGTTTATTATAACAAGAGTTAATTGTAGTTCAGATATTTGGACTAAATGAGCAAAATGCAGAAGTATATAATGCGCTTTCTAGTAAAAATAAGATATTAATAAAAAGGTTGGATAATTATTATTCCTAGTATAAAAAGTTTAAAAGAAAGTTAATTAACTAGAAAAAAGTGTAAGATGGTTAAGAGATGAAGATAAACTACATAACTTTTATAGTAACTTAATAGATAATATGATTTCAGCAGGTAGAAGATCACATAAACAGTTAAAATCTTTACTCAAGAAAAAATAAACATCTGAGATAATAGTTGAATCTGAATTTGAATTATCTAATTCTAATATTAATAAAATAGTAAATATGGTTATACATTAAAGGATTTAGGAAAAGATTTGAAAAAAAAATGCATACAGCAAAAATAAGGGTAATTAACTTCCTGATTATCCATCCAAAGTGGTGAAAAGTAGATTATTTTTTATGATGAATATTATATATATTATTATAAAATGTTCTTTACAAATTGCGCAGTTGAAGAAAATAATCCTATCATAAGCAGTACTTGATATAGCGTTAATGTAAATATTATTAGTGAAAAAATTATTGATTATTAACCAGAAGAATTTGCTAAATAATTAAATCGGATATATTAATAGGTATAGCTAAAAAATCAATGTAAAATAATGGAAAAGTTTATTACTAACTCTATATAATACATGCTACTATATAATCTAGCAAAATATAGCCACATATACAATAAAAAATAGGTTTCGCTAGTTTAGAGTAGTGATCACTTTATAAAATAGCTATTATGTATTATAGACGGTAAAACTTTTATATTTATTTTTTACATACAGTACAACACTGATCAGATCTAAATTTATTAGTCTAAACTTGTATTATTTCGAGATGAATATTCTTCACGTTGCATATAACTTGATTTAATTCACATATGTGAACATTGTAGTGTAGATTATTATTACTATATGCTTTTTTTCTACATATTTTAATAATTTGCATGGACTAAACTGATGTGCTCTTAACGATCTTTACATATGAATAGTGTTAAATTCTTTTATTATTAAATTAAAGATGATTAACGTAATTAAATTGATCTTGCAGATTATATAAAAGGTGATGTGATTAGTGAACCTTTTTATCTTCCTTATGCATTTTAGCTTTGTAGATATATAATGTTAACAACAAAAAATCAAAAACTGTCTAATTGACTACTTCAATAACATTGATAATTAATTTTTTAAATATATTGACTATAAGATTTTAATAAAAAATTGTTAATTAAGCATCTTTATTGACATAAACTGCTATTATATATTTTAGGGTATCATTTTTAGTGATATCCCTTGTATTTAGAAGTACTCATCTATAATATAACTTATTATGTGCTCTAAAGTAAAGATTTAGTATCCTTTACTTCGTGTAAATTTAATATATAATTTACATAAGTAACAACAATATTTAGATACTGCTATAAATACCAGATTTTTATTTCTTTGGTTTATAATATTGGTCAATATGTTCATTTTTGCATGTAAATATAAGCATTGTTTAATTTTTTCATTATCTAATTGTAAATTTGCGTTACTGTCTGTCCTATATATCTCTTTTAATCTTTCCAATATAGAATTATTATCCAAATATCTTTTCTTGAATTTTCATATTCTCTTATAGCATGAATAAACTTTTGAATAACATTCACTTATGAAAAAATAGGTTAACGAGAAACTATAATGGGATTTAATATAATTATGTTAGAAAATTAGTTTTTGTATTTTTCATTATAGGCGCATGCTGTGATATCGACTAAAGCTGAATAGTAAGATCCCATCTTTCTGAGATATCTTAAAAATTTTTTTTAGATTTCAAGATTATCTTTGATCGTTTTATCTTTGGCTGTTTTATAATAATTGCTACAAATCCCAGATATTTCGTATCTATGTACTTTATTTACATTTTTAATTTCAGCAAATTTTGTGAAAGATAAAATATGTTAATTTTGTGATCCTTTAGTTATATCTTCCTTTAACTTATTAAGTTTAGATTCAAATTTAGTAGAACAGTAGTCCATTATAGCTTCAAATAAACTCTTTATATTACTTCTTTCAAATGCTATATCTAACATTACAAGAGCATCTTTAAATATACTTTTTAAATATGCCTTGATTTTGTTAATATAATTAATATTCTGTCTATTTCAACCTTTGTTTTTAGAAATATAAACAGCGCGTTTATTGAAAAAAAATTTCAATCTTACTGCTACCTTTTCTCGGTCTCTTACCAATATTATTATTAGATTACAAAAAGATTTTTCCCACATCCTTTCCTTTTTCTCTTACTTTGCTAATAACAAACTTAATACTTTCAGTAACACACATTTTACTGTACAACTCTTGCATTTTTTCTGTTTACCATTCTGGTATTCTGTATTTATAAGCTTTATATGGAAAGTATTTTTTGTAAATCATATTGATCAATTATTTTTATATTATTCTATTATAAATTTATACTAAACCAGTTTTGAATCTGAAAAACCAGAACAGGTTTTTATAGTATATTAAATGGATTGATAGTATATTTTCATAAATAAATTATTTTAAAGTATTGATCATGTGATAGGTACAATTACATATCGGTCTATTTAAGAACACAATTTTATATAACTGTAGGTATTTACTTTTAGCGTAATATTATTTCTCTTACACTCTTACTAAATTCCTATCTTTAAAATATTCAAAATGATAGTATACCTATTGGTCAAATAAAGAACTTGTAGAATGAGATTTAATAATCAATTAAGAAATTTGCAGCTATTTCATATTATTTTGATTCTATGAATAATGTAGCTTTCATAAAACTTTTAGTGGAAAACAAAATAAGCCACTTTATTAAGATTTTTAAACTAGATATTAAGACGAAAGGATGAGGGAAAAATCTTTTTGTAATCTAATAATAATATTGGTAAGAGACCGAGAAAAGGTAGCAGTAAGATT